CGTGTATTGTCGAGATTTTGCAGCACTGGTGTTTGCAGCACTGGTGTGTACGGCTCATATTATATTAAATAGAAGGAATGTATGTCGTCACTTGAACCCCTTGCCTTTAAGGTTCTATTTACTTTGATGCATTTTTTTAAAAATAAAAAGCAGTTTTTTTCGACGCATTATTTTAGATTGCAAAAAAGCTCGCGTCATTTTGTGTAAAATATCAAAAGGAATCGAATAGTGCGAGCTTTTTGCAATCTGAAATAATGCGTCGGAAAAAACTGCTTTTGAAATTTTCCAAAAAGCATCAAAGTAAATTGAACCTTAACACCCTTATATAATGATCAGTTGCGAATATAAATAAACAATCCCGGAAAAGCAGTAGGAGCTTCAAAAATTTACAATGTATGAAAACAATCTCCATCAAGCGAGTTGGTATCGCTGAAAGTACCTAAGCCCACCTCACCGAGCGTCTGTCCACCGTGGAGGTAAGGCACAAACAGCGTCTGACTGGAATCCAGCGGTTGAATATGAAATGCTTATCCCCGGATGCTACACCTAAGATGGCAGCCCCATCACGGGACTAGGACCTACCGTCTCGGAAAATATTAATCTTTACAGAAACTAACTATGAAAGATCACGAACTGACTTGATGGCAACGACTTCTAACGCAAAACAACGAGCACGAATTGGAAGTTGGTCAGCTGGTTAAGCTGGTACAACTCACCAGCAAGGCACGACGCTTGATACTCGAAATTTTGGGACTATGTGAAGTTATTTCGGATCCAGTACTGTTATATGCCGGTGGTCGAGATGAAAACGCTCTCACCGTGAAGTTGGTTTTCTGCATCACGTCCATGCCGCGCTCTTCATGTGGGAGCCATTCATGAGAGCATAATCGTTGCCAGATTTAGAACACAGGTCCGAAACCTTACCATAATCCAATTTTATGCGACAACCGATGCTGCTTGAACACAGGACCAGAAGAATTTCTTCAGTCAACTGAATGCCATCGTAGATAATCCTTATGACAAACATACAAAGAAGTACCATAGAGATAACTCAAAGACTATAATGTCCCGAAGAAACGTGCTCAACTTTTTGGCTCAGCTCTGGTACTATCTTCGGTCCCAAGCTAATCGATGCACCCCTCGAAACATAGGATAATCCACGAGCCCCTCATTTTATCTGTCAAACTTGTATAGCGAATCAAAACAAACATAGTGTAGTACTAGAATTTCGACTATAATGGGGCACGTTAATCGATTTGCTTGAGACCAATAGGCTAGTCAAGTAGTGAGCCAATTTAAAATCGTTAGTTTCCACCGGTTGGTAGTACCGTTGTACTCTTTTGAGTACGTCAATTGTGGTACTAGATTAACTCAGTACAATGAAACTACTCGGAATGTCTGAAAAAGATATAAGGTTCTAAAGGGTGGCATCAAAATCTGGTTCGGTGGTTGAATGGTAAGTGTGACTGCTTTCTCCTCCCAGTGGACCTGGGCTAAATTCCAGCTGAAATCGTTGGAATTTTCTGAGGCAAAAAAAGCCACGATAGAACGGGTGAGAACATGAGGACCCATGAACAAAGCCCGTCAACGGTACTCGGCTCTAGAAAAGGAAGTCAAGCGCTCTTTCGGATAGGAAAAGCGAGCGTGGGTGAACTTCCTAGCTGACAAAGAGGAGAAAAACACAAAATTTACTGTGTTACCTGACTTATAACGAATATACGTTGTATACGAGCACCCCGAATACAATGTAAGGTTTGTCTAATTTTACATTGCAAATGCTATGCAAAATTAGACGAGTCAAACGTTGTATTCGGGGTACTCTTATACAATGTATATTCGTTATAAGTCAGGTAACCATACTGTTACCGCTCCGTATAGTCCTGGAGCACGTCAACGAATACCAAGAGTCCCTGTATTTGGTATTCATTGACTACAAAGCCGTTGATCCCCGGTCCATGAATAGACGGGTCGATAGGTAGGGTCCAGGTAGGGGAGCAGCCTCCCTAGCGTCGGTAGCATTGGTACTCAGTATGGAAAACAAGATCGGCGGAAAACAAATCAAGGGAAGAAAAAACGTAAGTGGAGATGGGGCAGCCACACACTACGATGGGGTGGAAACCAAATCTGCAAGCAAGCCCAGCAGGATATCGCAGCAGAGGCAGACCAAGCTCATGGCAACTGAGCCTCAACAAAGAAATCAAGAAAGCCGACAGAAATTTGACCTGGGCCAGGTTAAAGTAAAAATAAGCTGCCGTCCAGTATGAAAATCTTTCACGTTGGCCCTATGCGCCACTGGAGGGGCGCAGGATATTTAAGTGAGTGGGCGATTGTACCTAGGAATGATAAGTTCTTTTATTAAGTTTTTACTTTTTTTAACATGTGGATAGCGATAGAAAATAGCCCAACTGCGTCTAAATCTTTCTAGGAAAGATACATTACCCAATCTTTAATCTTCAAATACCTTGGAGTCTGGTTTGATTCAAAATACCCTTGGGGTACCCACACTAAGTATTTGAAACAAAAGTATCAACAAAGGATCAACTTTCTACGATCAATTTCCGGGACATGGTGGGGTGCTCACCCGGAAGACACAATTAAACTGTATAAAACGACTATTTTTTCAGTTCTTGAATATGGCTCTTTTTGCTTCCTCTCAGTTAGAAAAAGCCACCTAATTAAATTGGAACGCATTCAATATCGTTGTTTACAAATTGCCCTTGGCTGTGTGCATTCAATATGAGCCTGGAGGTTCTAACGGGAGTAAAACCCCTGCAGAACCGTTTCGGGGAGCTCTCATCAAGAATATTGATAAAATGAAGTGTCAGTAACAACCTTGTGATTGAAAACTTCGAAGAAATGCTCGAATTGACCATCCAATCTAGATTCGTGGGAATCTATCTTAATTATATGTCATCGGAGATTAGCCTTCTGTGCTATAACCCCCCTCGTGTATGCTTTGCTAACTACAGTTCTCTCATTGACTATGATCTCTCCATGAAACAGGCTATTCAAGGAGTTCCAGATCAACTTCGACCTATCTCAATTCCCCTTATTTTTACTGAAACGTACCAACAAGTTAATTGCAATAGAAGATTTTTCACTGATGGCTCACGCATTGATGAATCCACTAGAATCGGCGTCTTCAATGAAAACTCAACCGCCTTTCGGAAACTTCAGGAACCTTGTTCCGTTGATGTTGCTGAGCTAGCAGCAATCAGCTTCGCATTGGGGATGATTTCCGACATGCCCATAGACCATTACTGCATCTTCTCGGATAGTCTCAGTTCGATTGAGGCTATTCGGTCGATGAAACAAGGTAATCACTAATCTTATTTCCTTTCAAAGGTAAGGGAGCAGATGAGTTTGCTGATCGAAAGATCACATATGATTACCTTTGTATGGGTCCCCTCACATTGCTCAATCCCAGGCAATGAGAAGGCAGACTCTCCCGCAAATGTTTTTTCGAGAGCGTGGTTCAAAGGTCTGGATGCTTCATTCGTGTGATGTCAAGTCTTATGTCCAACCACTACTAGCTAGACACACATCTCTACAGAATAAACCTTGTTGACAGCAATATAAGTAGGTGCAGAATCGGTTATGATGACATCGATCACGCAGTTTGGTATTGCCCGGGTAATGACGCCTCCAGAGCACGACTGTTGGATACCCTAGTGGCCCGAGGTAGACAACCTTTCCGTGAAGTAAGAGGTGTATTGGGAACCCGTGATCTTCCCTACATGCAGGCGATATACGAATTCCTTTGTTTGTCAGATGTTAGAGTTTGATGTGACCATCCCCTTCTTTCCAAACAATTTCCAGCCATTGTGCCCCTGTCTCATTTTCCTCCTGTTTCAGTGCTACTTGCCTCTGCCCAGCCAGGATTTGGTCAACCATCCGAGAGTAGTATCTGAAGGAGGCTACAGAAACCAGTTTCCTACCTAGCTCTTTCCAATCGAAATTGTTATTCATTAACCTCGAGCCCGCCACGAGTAATTGGTACCCAATATTAACCTAGAACTACTGCTGATTAAAATGTAAATTCAAACGTTACTGATTTTTGGTTCCGCAAAGTGTCACACACGACTGAGCCTAGTAAATAAACGAACTAGTTAAAAAATATGGATATAAAATAGACCGAAGTTACCAGTGGCGTGGCCTTAACCTCAATCTACCTGTGCCCCAACTCTCAAAACATAAACAATTATCAAAATATTGCTTGCAATGGATAGATATCGAGTTAACTAGAAGATTAAGTGTATTTTTCAACCGATTCGAGTATGAATATGGCATTAAATCTGTTTTTGAAAGTTGGTGCACAGGTAAAAAGTGAGGTTACGTGACGCCACTGGAAGTTACCTAGGCAGTTACATAACTAACTAGTGATGTGAGATTTCAATTTCAAGGTTAGATAAGTGACAATTTAAACACTGATTTACAAATATCTATTTATAAGGAATTAAGACTTATTGTTTTGATCCACGAGACATCTGCTTTTAAAATAATTGTTCATAATGGTTGTTTTGCCCAAAAAAGGGCACGACTAGATTTATCATCCACCAGTTTCCATACCTTTTTAAAGTGGAATCTACTCAGCCATTAGTGTAAAACACAATTGCTGTAGAACGAATGTTAGTACCACCGTTCTATGTGCTTTTATCGGATTCGACCATTACAAAGGGAACTTCGATGTTTGTTTTCGTTTCAATCCAGTCAGTGTTGAGTTCAAAATCTCAAGATACCTATGCGAAAAGTACAGGTTGTAAACGTCTTACTCTTTTTAATCTTAGAGCATTTATATTTTCGGGTTGCTCAAGTTGATGCAATTGGAAAATATATAGAAGTGCATACATAAAATTTTGTGATAAGCGTAAGTACTACACACTTAGAAATACCTAATATTACACGTGTCGGAATCCACCTTTGACATAAAAAAGGATGAGACGTAAACAAACATGTAATGTAATAAAGGGCGAACACGAAATTATTGCGACACCGAAAATGTCATGCCAATTTTCTTATAATGTTTAGAATCAAACCAAAATTTTAGGGTAGTTTTATACATATATTTACTTCAAAAATCAAAAGAAAAGTTAATCGATGGAGCCTTGAGTGTAAAATTGAACGCATTTTCGCTTGATGCCCTCCATCAAAGTCTTTACAGTGTCATCCGGTACCAGTTTCTCAGTTTTTTTTCCATTTTCTTAATATGTCCTTCTCGTCTTTGACTGTCTTCTTGCTCTTCCGAAGTTCCCGCTTCATTATTGCCCAGTACTGCTCCACCGGGCGCAGCTCCGGACAGTTTGGCGGATTCATGTCCTTTGGAACAAAATGGACAGAATTGGCCTCATACCACTCCAGGACACTTTTAGAATAGTGGCATGATGCCAAATCTGGCCAAAATAGCGGAGCTTCGTCGTGCTGCTGCAAGAACGGCAAAAGGAGCTTCTCGAGGCACTCAGATTTGTAGATCTCGCCATTTACTGTGCCCTTTGTCACGAAAGGCTCACTCCTCAGTCCGCAAGAGCAGATGGCCTGCCAAATGAGATATTTGGGGGCGAACTTCGACATTTTCTTCTTCTTAAATTTGTCGTCCACATCGAACTTGCTCTTGCCGGTGAAAAACTCCAACCCCGGAATTTGCTTAAAATCGGCTTTTATATACGTTTCGTCGTCCATCACACAGCAGCCATATTTTGTCAGCATCTTCTCGTAGAGCTTCCGTGCCCGAGTTTTAGCCGTCGATTGTTGCCGCTCATCGCGGTTTGGGAAGTTCTGTACCATGTATGTATGTAGTCCAGCTCTCTTCTTTGCATTCTGGACGTAGCTCTGCGACATGCCGATCTTTTTAGCCAAATCACGGCTTGAGACGTTGGGATTTGCTTTAATCATCCGCTTCACCTTTCCCGCCGTCTTTTTGTTCTCCGGTCCCGGTTTTCTTTCAGCTCCTTTGCCGTGGTCCAACGTCAACCGCTCCTGGAACCGCTTCAACACTCTGGAGACGGTTGAATGGTGAATGTTCAACATTTTTCCCAACTGCCGGTGCGACAGGTCAGGAAATTCCAGGTGTTTGGAAAGAATTTGTTCTCTCAACTCGCGTTGGTTCACCTCCATTTTCGTTGAATCGAAAAACACGACTTCGAGTTTGACAGTATGTACACAATACACATCAATGAGAAAGTGTGCAAAATTTGGTTGATTTTTACCCAATGGTAAAAAAGTTATGCCCTGTTGAATGTGTCGCAATAATTTCGTGTTCGCCCTTTATTAAGTGCTCCGAGACTGAAAAGTTCGAAAGTACGTTTGATTGAGCTGAATTTCGCGTCTATTATGACTCAATTTTATGTCAAAATTGACGCTCGTATATGTCAGTCTCAGAGCACCTAAATTTACATAAATTTTTCTAAGTGTGTAGGCTATGTTTTCTTATTTTGGGCATACCTCATAAAATGCATATGCAGTGGCGTCGCGTCCACATGTGCAACTTGTGCACGACACAGGAATAATTAAAAAAAATGCGTTTAGATTTTTTATAGATGTTATGGTCACATTATAGTACTTTACTCCAGATTACAAGTGACCATGAATACACTATTTTATAGTGTGGCTCAATAAAATCTTCGACCTTGGTTTGAAAGCGAGCTTTTTTGGGTGGCGGGTGGCAAGTTTGTGAATGGTCAATGCCTGATGTAAGCCAAGCAGACCTTCTATCACCTCTTGAAACATACCAAAAATGTTCCACAATACATGGCGGTTTGCACCACTAGTTGCAATTCAGAAGGGTCTAACTCAAAACGTAAACAATGACTGGGATCGTCGGTTTCTTCCGAATGAAAACACACACACTCAAACTAACTAAATCATATGATAGAGCAATGTTTGTTCTATGAGCTGGTGTAGTCAGATTTCGTGTGGTGATTCAAGAGAAATCGACGTTCAAAGTCATTGTTTACGTTTCGAGCTATACCCTTCTGACATGTTTCGCCTGAATTGAAACCTTCAGCAGTCACGCGTCAAACGGGAGCAACACGGAAACAGCAGTCTGGTACGCTTTGGACGTTATCATACTTGCAGACCAGTTTGAATGTGTGAGTTTAAATTAGAAGAACATTTGTGATGTATGGGTGCCCAAAGTGTGCATTTCTCGCTGTGCACTTGGTTATCTTATTGCAGGCAAAGAGAGTAATGGAGAAAGAGAGCGCAAAATCTCGCTCTTACTCTCTTGTCAGTTGTAAATCTCTCAATTACCGATGGTTGCGCCAGTGCGCCTGTGAAAACTTATGAGCTTCCCCTGGTTCATTCTGATAGTGTTGTTCTGATGAATAAAAAGTTGATTAATTCAAGTTTGCTACCCAGAGGACGTTATGAATTTTCTCTAGACTTTGACACTGTTTTGTATCAAAAAATGTTTTCGGAAGTGTTTGACGGATATTCTTCATTACACTGCAGTCGAAAGATTATAGACCCTTCAAATGTTACGTTAGGTAGTGATTAATATAGTAATAGAGAATATGTCCCTCGAATTCATGAAGCATTGAAAAATATACAAAAACTAATATGTGGTGGTAAACTATAACGAACAAAGTTTGGTGCACAGGTAAACAAATGAGGCACGCGACGCCTCTGTCATATGTATGTCCTATATTAACAATTTACTACATTTTAAACAACATTCATATAATTTAGATCAGAAAACTTAACCGTTATGAGCGTGACGGTTACCTGAATACCTAGCATCCATTTGAATAACACGGTGTAGAAACAAAACAAAACAAAATCCCCACGGAACTACAAACATAGCGCAACTACCTAAGCCCCGTCTTGAATGAACTTCCTTACCCCCTACCGGGTGGACAGTTTAAAGATACTTTATTAGAATAAAGCAATTATCTAAATGTCGACAAACTTAAGAAAAACTTGTTGTGGGTCAGAAACATAGCCAAAATCGATGCTGATTATCTTGCCCGAATTTGATGAATTCGTCCTTTACAGGTTTTGTTTACTTCCCAGCATGCTCCTCGTCGATTAACGTATGACGGGGACTTGTTTGATAGTTTACTTTCAATTAACATATTTTCCAATATATTGAAGACTTCAAACGGAAGGGCTATTTATTTTCCAACAACTGTGTCTCAGACGTCATTAAAAGTGAGATTTTCGTGCTGTGATTTTCCATTTTAATAAAGATGGCCAGATATAAAATAGTCGAATTTCAGCACAGATAATGTGATTGCTTGCCCATAACAAGCAAATTATGCAATTATCCATGCATGTCGGAGAAGGTCGCGTCTGATCGGTTCGACATTTGGCGTGGAAATGCTAATCCATCCAAATCAATAATAGTAAATACTCACGTACGGTACTGTAAAGTCAAACGAAGCTAAAATGATTACCTGCAAGAGATAAGATATGAGAAATACATTAGTTTAGCGCCAAAATGTAACATTATTTTCTCTAACTTTAATTTTATATTATAATTTAATTTTAATTTTTCAACACTCGCTTCATCCAACGGCATATCTTGATACTCTTTCTCTACACTAACACACGTCGGACAAGAAAGTCTGTGTCCGATAAAAACATACAAGCAGGCTTTGTTTCGCATACACTGCAACTGCCATGTACCCATTAATGGGTAAAAAAGGACCCATTTTTGATGACTATATGAGGCTGTCAAATAATGGGTGAAGTTCAATTTCAAATAATGGGTACTCTTTTACCCATTTCTCAGAGCGCTTCGGGCGAGAATAATGAGTACTTTTTTACTCATTAATGGGTGAAAAGCAACTTAGATAACATCTTCCAGTCCTCGCTTCAGTCGCAAAGTGTCTTAACGATGTCGAATGGAAATTGCTCGTTTGAAAAGTAGGTATTTCTTATTTTATTTCTTTCTGCCCACATCTAAACATCAATCTGAAACTTGCAGGGACAGAACTAGCCGGATCAGCAAGGAGATCCCAGGAGAGCTTTGGGAGCACCATTTCTTGCACGAACGATGGAAAGACCACTGGATGGAAAATGGTGAAATAAAGATATAAATATAAATAACGTTTTGTATTCTTAACTATTCATTGTGGCTCTTTCAATGATCCATAAATCATACAAATTCTAAAAGAAAAATCCTGGTTTAAGGATTTCAAAATTGGGTACTTTGTACCCATTTTATAAAGCCAATTATTATTTAAAAATGGGTAAAAAAGTACCCCATGATTTGACGTACAAGGTCTTTACCCATTAATGGGTAAAGACGTTTTACCCATTAAATGAGTTTACCTACTTTACTTCGAAATGGGCACTTTTTCACGCATTAATGGGTACTTTCCAGTTACAGTGTATCGTTATGCCTCCTTTTCCTGTGACAAACGACTACAACCATGGACGCTGGTAACGGAACAGGTAGCAAATTGTGATAAAGCAATAAGTCATTGCCCGATATTAATCTAGGTACTTGCCACCACCTTGACCGCATCCGTTCGTGTGTTCGTTTGTCAACACTAACCGCGACAATGCCCTCGCCGTGCTGTCGACGACTCGAATTCGAACGACTAACCCACAGGTGCATTTAGTTGGGCATTATTTGAATAATTATTTATGTCAATTAGTAGATTTCTGCAGGAGAAAGGGCAATATGAAGTAAATATGAACAATCAATTCGATATTATTGATTATTGAGAACGAAACAAAGTCTGCATACCTGTGTTTGATTTCAGAATGAGTTGAGGGCATATTTCATTAATACATAATTCTATTAAAATAGACTGTAGGGTATCCAAGAAGGAATAAATACAGGTTGATATTGATATAAATGAAAACACTTAAAATTTAATGCAATGTACATGTTCTCTATACAATAACGCCAAAGTGTGTTTTAATTCCTCAATTAAATTCGGTGCCGTAAATTGCACCCGTAGATATCTTATGATCAGGTTCCAAAAAGTTTCCTTTGACCGGACAATTCGGAGGATTCATCTCTGTTTGCATGTACCAAGCTGCTTTGAATTTTTTCGGTTGAATTTTTGACACAATGGGGACAAAAATGGGTGCAGGCTTAGAAAGTGCTCAATGAACTAATGTCTAGAATAATGATGCCCTATCATGCAAAAAAAAACCTAACGCTCAATGAATTAATTTACACTCCTAGGTATAAATGATCAAGGAATTAATGAAGACATGATTTCCCCTAAGTACTAAAAAAAGTCGTTTCATTGATTAAATGTTGTCAGCTATAGCCATAATAAGTGTATGACAAGCCAGAATATATAATAGTTCTGGTGAGCACATGGATATTGATTAGCAATAACAGGTAGAGTAGAGCCATCGAGCGTGAAGGCTGAATACGAATAAAACCACGTACCCACGTACCTGTGACGATAAGTCCGTATTTATAAGCGATAACTTTTGGGTTGTCCTGGCACTTCTCGTTAACCTAATGCCGTGAAACTGCATGATATAAGCATTAATAAAGTACGTTTATGTACGCTTTTGGAATACCTAACCATGAGTGGTAGGTAAGAAAAATAAAACATGAATGCACTGTCGGAGCCCAGTTACATCACAATAGTAATAAATATTATCGCAACCAAATCCGTACTCTCTACTATGAACACGGTCGATCGGACCGAGAGGTTGTTGATGAGCACACACGGCTAACGAATGCGAACTGGGTTGAGTATCGTCTGTCTGCATGTCTGATGAACTGATTAATGTACGAATGAACCCAGTAAGTAACTGCAGGCACGCGCGGTGTTCCCTCGAATGGGGTTAGTTGCACAAAAGATGCGTTGCAATATTTAATGTTTGGTTGAAGTGATATCAACTTTCTGGTAAAGTGAATTATTGTTTACTTTCTGCGTCTTGTTGGAAGCGTAAGGGCGCTAGCACAGTGAATGCGAGAAGCCAAACCGACCATGAGAAAGAAGAAAAATAAATAATACAAATCCCATTAAATTTTTTATCAATTCGGCTTCCTGCAGTGATGCAGTGCTTGCGGCCCAAAATTTCGCATGATAGACCATCTTAAATATTGATTGAAATATGTACATACATCTGTTGTATATAAACAATACAGGGAGTAACTGTCACTGTCATAACGATTTCAGATTTACTACACATCTAGCGTTCAGAATCATATGGGTCTAACTGCGATGATCGATTCTCTTCATTGATTTTCTCTTTGTATTACTACACTTGAGTGTCTTAGTATCTTAGTTCCATATTGTAGCTTAGGGTATTTCAGTTGATATTGTATATAGTTTTTATATAATAGAGGAAATA